CTTGGTAGAGTGCTGTGGCATCACACAGCTCACAGCAACCTCCAACTCCTGGGCTTAAGCAATTCTCTTGCCTCAGCCTCCCAAGTAGCTGGGAATACAGATGCCTGCCACAGCACCTGGCTATTTTTTTGGTTGCAGTTGGCCGGGGTTGGCTTTGAACCCGCCATCCTCGGTATATGGGACTGGGCCCTACTCACTGAGCCACAGGTGCTGCCCCTTTTACCCAGTTTTCATGCCTGGAAATAGTTCTAGAGTCTCTATTCTGCTCTGGGTTTCTATCCCTGAGTCAATAGGATGCAGCCTAATTACTATTCTTTATAAAAAAAAAAGATTATAAAAATAACCTTAATTTCTGCTACAGTGAGACTCTTCTTAAACCTCATTATTCTTCAAAATTATCTTGGTCATTTTGGCCTTTTATTTATTTTTGAGACACAGTCTCACTCTGTTACCCAGGCTAGAGTGTTATGGTATCATGGCTCACAGTAACCTCAAACTCCTGGGCTCAAGTGATCCTCTTGCCTCAGCCTCCTGTGTAGCTGGGACTATAGGTGTCTGCCACAATGCCTAGCTAGTTTTTCTAAAGTAGAGACAGGGTCTTGCTCTTGTTCAGGCTGATCTTGAACTCCTGAGCTCAAACAATCCGCACACCTTTGTCTCCCAGGGTGCTAGGATTACAGGCATGAGCCACCACGCCTGACCCATTTTTGACCTTTTAAATTCCTTCTGAGTTCATGACCAGCTTGTCAAATTCCTAGAATCCTGTAGGGATTTTGATTGAAACAGCATTGACATTTGGATTAATTGGGAGGGAACTGTGGTTCTTCATAATACAGAGTCATCCCCTCGTGTAGTTCTCCATTGTCAACAAAGGTTTGAAATTTTGACTTTCCATTACTTCTTATGTCATTCAGTTTTATTGTTAGGATAAGTACCATTAAAAAATTCACACTATGTTTTCCTGTGTATCACTCTACTGTTGATTTTGGAAGTTGCCCCCTAATCTACCAATTTCGCTGCTGACCTCTCATTGTTCTAAATTTTGCCTTCGGGTCTCTGGATTTTCTGTTACTCCCCACAGTGTCTGCGAATAGAATAATGAGTACAAAGTTACAAAGTACCCCCATCTGTAGTTAGTTGCTCCTTTCTCTTGGTGCACTTTGCCTTGCAGGTGCCATTTCTCTGCCTGGAGTCCCTTATGCCCCCAGCTCCACTCCATCTTACCTAAATGCCACCGCCTATGTAACACTTCCCTAACTCAACCTTAGGAGAAATTATTTTTCACTCCTCTGAGCTTTGGGAATGTATACAGCTGATTCCTGACTCAGTGTTTTGACTTATGATTTCTTAACTTTATGATGAGCTTATCACGGTATTTAATGCATTTTCCACTGTTGTATTTTCGACTTAAGATGGGTTATCAGGATGTAACCTCACCGTAAGTTGAGAAGCATCCGTATACCCCCCGCCATGCACTGCAGGTAATGTACTGTGCACCAGGCTTTGTCTCCTTCGTTGGGGTGTGAGCAACGCTGGGGTTGGGGAGTGTGGAAAATTCATCTTTGCCTTGTCAATGACTAGCACAGCAGTGCCTGGCACACAGGCAGTGTCAGGAAAGGACTGCTGAGTGACCGAATGACAAAGCTGTATTTGAACTTCAGCTGCAGGAGCTGGAGGGCAGCTACTCAAATCCAGAGTTGAGTCCTCAACACTGTGAGTTCTGGTGTTTGACTTCGCCAGTTCATAAGATCCTCATGCCAGCCAAACTCAAAATTTTATTAATAAATTGGAAGCTCCTTTTACTACCTTACGCTGTGATATTGCCTTTACCTGGGAAACCAAACTAGCCACAGCCCAGTGTGAACCTCCCCAGGAGCCTGACAGCAAATACATCAGACAAGTACTTGTTAAGTATGGGATCAGCCTCTACCTCCATCCACTTAGCCAGCCCCTCCTAGCACTTGCACGTTTATTCAATATATTTTTGTAAGTCAGTTTTCTCTTTCTCTACAATGTATTTTAAAAGGCAACTTTATATCATTTTCAAGACATCTTAAACCAGTGTCTCTTGAGAAATAGAGTAAAAAGAAAAAAAGTTAAATTTTGCTTGCTAAAGGTGATGGGCCTTAGGCTTACTCTCTTCTTATTACAAATTAAGAAAAGTGGTAGTGATGGGTTAAAGACTAGTGTGAGCTCCTCTGAAGTGAGGTTTTCTCGCGGGACCCCTAGTGCAACTTGTGACCCCAAGTGAGAGTGTCTGCACAGGACTCGGTACATCCACCCCATCGGCACCACTGACAAATGCCGAGTTAGGCCTGTTTGGTTTTCTTACTGGGCACAAATCTTTTAAACCTGGTAAGATTAGTTATAAATAGCAACTTTTAAAATAAAAAAGGTCTACATGCATAGCACAAGTCTGAAGGGCCATCACCCAAATGTCATTTGCTCATTGCTGGAGGTCAGGTTTTTATTTTTTATGGTAAGTTTTAGATTTACTGAAAAGTCGCAAAGATGATGTGGCTTTGTAACCCCTGGCCCAGTTTCAATTTCCTCTAATTTAGCATCTTACATTACTGTGGTTCTTTTGTAAAACTAAGAAACCAATGCTGTGAACCCCAGCAAGGTCTGGCCTGGTCTGGGTGCTTGAGCACAGAAAGCCAATCTCTGAGGTCTCAAGGCTTCCCCTGGAGGAGAGAGCTTCACTGCGGCTGGTCAGCCAGGAGAGGGGAGATATTTCTCAAACCTGCCTCCCCAGTGGTGGGGGAGGCAAGGGCTTGAATAGTGTGCTGTGGAGGACGTGGCAGGCAGGCCTGGCTGTGGGGGCTCAAGCCCCAGGCCTGCAGGTGGGCTGATTCAAGAGTCAGGGATTGGTGGAGGATGGTGAGAGGCGGGGGTGGGATGGGGGCGGGAGATGCCCGTGCTAAGCTTGTTAGGTCAGTCTGGGGCTCTGCTAAGGGAGAGGGCCAGTTACTCCAGACTCTGCAGATTTCACCAGACTATCCATAAATGTCCTTTTTGTGCTCGGAGATCCCACACTGTATTTAGCTGGGAAGACTCCCTTTTTTCCTGATATGTGAGTTTCAGGCTTTTCCTTGCTTTTCATGGTGTTGATAGTTTTGAGGAATAATGCCTAGGTGTTTTGTCAAATGTCCCTTACTTTCAGCTTAATCTGATTTTTCTTCATGACTAGACTGTAGGTAAGTCCTTCCTTCTCCAGTTTCAGAAGGAAGCGTGCAGAGACAAGGCGCCCTTCTCTGGGCAGTGTGTCGGGGCCCCGGGCATCCAGGTGAATTGTCTGGGTGACGGCAACCTTCGGCACTCAAGGCAGCGCCAGGCAGGTTTCCCCACATTACATTTTCCCCTTCCATACTCTGTTCCAGCATTCTTCAACCTTTTCTATCTCACGGCACATTTGAATCTATAGTTAAACTTCCGCGGCACACTTAAATTATGTTGATCAAAAAGAAGAGTTAAAAAAGAATATACTTACTGTGCTTTGAACTTCTTTAATTATCCTCTCACAACACATAGTGTGCCGTGCTCATGGGTTGAAAACCCCTGCTCTGTTCTGTGGAAGTGAGTCTAAATTCAGCCAGCACTGAAGACAAGGTGAGGAGGGAGGAATTATATTTCACCTCCTGGGTCAGAGTTGGAGGAGTCCAGCTCATCAGCTGCTTTTAGATGAGATGTTTAGAGGCTATGCTTATTGTCTTGAGACCCCACAGGGCCTCACAGCGCTGGTGGGGCCCCTGGGGGTGTTCCTTGCCAACTGGTTCCTAATAATTGGCTCCACTATTCAGTTATATAGATGTCCTCTCCCCAAAAGTTGACAACTTTCCTGTTAATTCTGCAACTGTTAGTAATTGTAACAAGTAGAAGTAGTCCAACCACAGGTACTTGAAGTTCTCAACTAAAAAAACAAATTTTTTAAAAAAAATTCAGAAGCAAATACTTTTGTTTTTTTTTGAGACAGACCCTCAAGCTGTCCCCCTGGGTACAGTGCCATGGCATCACAGCTCACAGCAACCTCCGACTCCTGGGCTCAAGCGAGTCTCCTGCCTCTACCTCTCAAGTAGCTGGGACCACAGGCATCCGCCACAATGCCTATTTTTTGGTTGCAGCCATGATTGTTGTTTGGTGGGCCTGGGCTGGATTTGAACCCGCCACCTTAGGTGTATGTGGCTGGAACCTTAGCCACTTGAGCCACAAGTGCTGAGCCAGAGCAAATCCATTTTTAAAAAATTCAAAGTTTTAATGTTTTTTCTTTTTTTTTGGTTGTAGTTGTCGTTGTGTGGCAGGCCCGGGCTGGATTCCAACCTGCCAGCTCCAGGTGCTGAGCCAGTTTAATGTTTTTTCTTTCTTTCTTTCTTTTTTTGAGACAGAGCCTTCAGCTATCCCCCTGAGTAGAGTGCCATGGCATCACAGCTCACAGCAACCTCCAACTCCTGGGCTCAAGCGAGTCTCCTGCCTCTGCCTCCCAAATAGCTGGGACCACAGGCACCCGCCCAGCTATTTTTTGGTTGCAGCTGTCATTGTTTTGGTGCCCGGGCTGGATTCGAACCCACCACCTTAGGTGTATGTGGCTGGAGCCATAGCCACTTGAGCCACAGGTGCCCAGCCAGTTTAATGTTTTTTTCAATGAGCATTTAGAAAACTTTGCAAGTCTCACCATTCCAAAATTAAATTACACCTGACCTAATTAGAATTTACATACATGAAAGAGTACTGATCAGGATAGGCCAGAGTTTTCCTGGGTAACAACCTCCCAATTCCAGCGACTTAAACGTGCTATTCTGGGTCCTTGAATTTCTGTGTGAATTTTAGGATTAGCTTGTAAATTTCTATAAAGCAATTGACTTGTCTCGCTGAGCACTGCATTCATTAAAATGAATATGCTAGTTGGTATCTGGCATGACATTTTATTTAGATAGTTTTCCTATTAAGCAGTTAGAAAACTTAAAAGGACATGTTTATTTTGAACATCATATACAAATACAGGGTTTCAGGTTGTTTAAAGATTTTATTTCCAATAGATGGTTCCGCTTATGAATCATAAAAATCATCAAAATCATCGATGGGTGTGTTTTGGTTTCTAGGACGTAAAGCAGCTTCAATTTCCGAGTTACTGTCATCAGACTCACCCCAGAAGCCTGGAAGACAAAACCAGGTCGCCATTTAACATTCCTGTCCTTGGACAGAGTTTACAGAACAGTGCAGGAGGTCTGGCACTAACTGGAGTGCTGGTTTGCACAAGGCCTACCAGCGACACTGTGTGATGTGCCTGGCCAGACCCCCCAGGAAGGCGTGTTGGTACTGTACAAGCGCACATATTTTATGGTGTGTTCCTGGCACTATTATAGAAAACACTTGGCAGAATATGTCCTTTCCCCTTCTGTTGAACCCAGATCTCTACTCTAGGATGAGGACTTTAAATCAGGGTTAACTCAGAAGCAGTGTGCCCTGGGTGTCCTCTCAGCCCTGTCCCTCCACTTCAACTCCCTCCGCTCTTCACAAGAGCAAAGAGAAGAGAAAGACGTGAATCTGCCCTGAGACAGGACTTGGGTGCACATGGTTTATTTGGGAGGTGATTTCAGGAACCGTGATGCAGCAGGGAAGAGAAAAAGCCAGTGAAGGCCACGCTGACCTGAGGGGCTGGCAGTGGATGGGGTAGGGCACATCCTGCCAGGGACCCCCCCGAGAGACCACAGAACTCTCCTCAGATGGTCTCGGTGAAGAGGAAGGAAGTGAAGTTCCTGATTCACCAGTGTCCCTCTCCCAGTTGTTCTCAGCCCAGGGCATCAACTCCGTGGACTGTGAGCTGCCCTCTGAGGGCAGAGCATGACCCTGTATGCAGAGAAACACAGCTGCCTGATGCGAAAGGCTGCAGGTACAGCTGCGAATTGGAGCTGAGGTGACCTCCAGGTGGTCTGAGAGTGTGTGTGGGGGCCACAGACATCCTTGCCTACATACAGACTTCCCTCACTGTACCGGCATCCATGTGGCACAACCTGCCAGCTCTGTGCTGACTTACACACGACTCCATTTAATCCTAACGCCAAGCCTGGTAAGTGTTGCTGTCCCCATTTAACTGATGCTGAGAGAGGTTAAATGGCCACAAACACAGCATTAGTGGGTGGTCAACCTGGGAGTCCCACCCGTATCATCTGACCCCCAGTCTCCACCACAGCCTGCTGGGTGGGGGGCTTATGTAGGCAGAAGCAGAGAGAGCCCAAGCCTGGGGGGGGCTATGGCACAGTTTTGTGGTGGAAAGATGGTTACATTCTCCCTGTGAACTGGGCATGGAAGGGTGGATCAGAGCCCACTAGCTGATGAGAGGGGAAAGGAACTTCACACAAAAGGAATGGTGTGAGCAATGGTACAGCAGCATAGGTGTGGTGGATCTAGAGAAAGCTGATGTGACTAGACCCACGGCAGCAGATCCTGGGAGGATCAAACTGACCAGACCCTGAACGAAGGAAGTACAGGCTCTGTCCGGCAGGTAGCGGGGGAGGCACTGGCAGCTCCTAAGGAGGCAGGTAAGAAGGGTAAGTCAGGTTTTAGATATTGGTGGCCAGATGGTCAGGTCAGGGGCTGGGAGGATCTGGGCATGAGGAAACCAGTTAGAGTTACTCCAAGAGCCCTGTGAGGGTATAAGCCATGGGTACGTGGGGAGCACGGGCAGTGAAGATGGGGAGAGGGGCACTGGTGGGATACTGGTGCTGGTAGCAGTCAGACGTGAGGCCAGCACCCCTTGCACTTCATGCTTGCAAATGGTACTGCTCTGCTGTCATCCTGTGGTCCACGGTACCTGTGCAGCCTTGTCCCTCAGACCCCAGCTGCGAGGGGTGCGAGTACTGGCATAGCCATGCTTCAGGTCTCCCTCGAGAAACTGAGTATACATCACACACAACTTTCTCTTTAAAACATAAAAGGAAAATCTGGTGTCCAGTTATTTCTCTTACCTTTAGACTTTAAATGGGTCATTAGTTCCTTTTTGTTTTCATGCCTGTAAGATAAAGAAATAGCCTAAGTTCTGGAGGGAAAACAACCAGACCAGTATTTTTATAATAAACCCATTGGGAAAAAGCACTGATATTTACTGAAAGGCCAGAGCTTCACATGATGGTTTTACAAGCAAAAAAAAAAAATGTTGGGCCCTGCTATGCCTTGGTGGTCCATGTGTCCCCCTGGTCTGCCCTGGCTGCACCACCCTAGGTGTGCCAGGCACGCACTAGAAGAGATGGCATGGTGGCTGAGGCAGAGGACCCCTTGGACAGTCCTTGGAAAACACTCACATGTAAAGTTTTAGCTCTTTTAGGCAAGCTAAAAGTAAAATAGCTGAAGTAGGGAACTCAAGATGTTAGAATGCAAGGAGATGTTAGTAAAGTTAAATACTTCTCAGTTGAGCCAGTGGCAGCAGTACTAACAGTTTAACAAAGAAGTTCGACATAAACACGCAGGAGAGAAGAATGCAGGTGTCTGGTGCATTCACACTTAAGAGTCTGCAGATCCAATACACAGAAACGCGAGTGTCTACAGCCCCCAGGACCTACTGACTTGCTGAGGAAAGCAAGCATGATGAGCAAACTGGCTCTAGGGGATATAATTTCTCCATGTCTTTACAAAAGCTGCTGTAATTTTAATGAATTTTCAAGTCCCCTCTGAGAGCATCATTTGATTTTCTTAATTAGATTCTTTAAGGCTTGTCCTGAGCAGTCAAAGGAGGTACTAGGTAAGAAGCCTGCCTCGTGTGTGGCTCAGGATTTTGCTTCACACTGCGGCCAGCACAGCTCTTCTCTTGGCCTGGCCCGCTCCTCCGGGAGCAGGAAACCCTATGAATTGTCTTTTCCTTCTCTTTGGGCCAAGTCTGGTTTAACCTATGACTTAAAATCTGCCTTTTGCCTTACTTTACTTTTTTCCCCAGTGAACAAACCTCCACTAAGGTATAATTTTCCAGGCTAAATATCTGTCAGTATCTCCTTTATATTTGGTGACTGTGTCCTTATTGCTGTGGCCAAGTAGTGCCCATGGCCATTTCTCCAGAAGAGCAGAAGACCCCTATGAGCATCTGGAAGCTATCAACAAGTGACAGTGATGGAGCTGCCGGGAAGGCGAGCCTGTGTGAATCCATTTGTAGAGAGTGCCCACCTGTGCGCACACACACTCAGTGCAACTGTGGGTTGTATCCACTATTTCCCTTCTCTCGTTACCCGAGGACGCAGAGCTAGGTGCTGGGGAGAGGATTCTAAGAATGCTGTAGGGATGCAAACAGAGGTAGATTTGCCAGCCACGGTCCAAATATGAAGAGGTGGTGGGTGGTGAGATCAGTGGTGGCTGAAAGAATTGAGGTGGCAGGTGAGGGGGAGCTGTAGGACCCCTGAGGAAGCAGGTGTGTCTGCTGTGAAAGACAGAGAGGGCTGCCTAGGCCTGGATGAGGGACAGGATGTGGCAGGGTGGGGCAGCAGGGAGCCCCTGACACGGGAGCAGGGTATGGGGCAGGAAAGTTCGGGCCAGGTACCCTCAGTCCCAGGTCACATCTCTGAGCTCTAGAAATGTTATCTGGTGCCCACATGGTGGCTCTACGAAAGCACCTCAGGGTCAACACCGATCTATGACCAAACTCACCATCTTCCAGCATAGCCCTCTCCCAAAAAACCAAGCCTTTCCTCCTGTCTCAGCAAATGGCAAGCCTGACCTGCCGGTGCCTCCCAAGCCTCTTTCCACTCCTCTGCTCTCCACGCCTGGACAGCCCCTAGGTCCTGCCAAGTCTCCCTCCAATACTTCCCATGGTCCTCACCTTTCCCCTATGCATTGCCTATTTTTTTTTTTTTTTTAAATAGAGACAGAGTCTTGCTTTCTTGCCCAGGCTAGAGTGCAGTGCTGTCATCATAGCTCACTGCAGCCTCCATGGATCTCTTGGGCTCAAGGGATCCTCCTGCCTCAGCCTCCTGGGCAGCTGGGACTGTGGATGTGAGCTACCACAGCTGCCAAGAGTGAGTTTTTTGAAATGAAAATCTGATCACTTCACTTTCTTGCTTAAAACTCTTCAATACCTCTTCAAAAGCTACTTCGACACACTCAGAGAAGATTAGGCAGTTGGATTCCAAGCATACTGCATGGAGCGCAACCATTTACCTTTTGGCTACAGCACAAAAACAGCTGCAGACAATTTGTAAACTAACAAACATGGATGTATTCCAAACTTCACTTATGGACACTGACATTTGATTTCCACATAACTTTCAGGTGTCATGAAACTTTTTTCTTCTTTGACTTCTCCTCCCAACCATTTAAAAACGTAAAAGCCATTCTTAGCTTACGGGTTGTACAGACGCAGGTAGTGGGCTGGATTTGGCTCACAGGCCATAACTTGCCTGTGTAAAGAACTGCCAACTTGAGACCTGTGCAGCAAACTAAGGAGCCAGTTTTGCCTGCACGGTCTCTCAGGAGTGAGTCTTAGGGGCCTCATGGAGTAGACATAGAGGGTTTTTCTCAGTAGTTTACAATTAAACTAGAAGTCTCATTTCAAAATAAACCATTTTCAGGTAAGACATCACAGACTACTGGGTAAAAATTCAAATATAACCATGCTCCTCTGATTGCATTATAATGGAACAATTATCTCTGCAGATTTTCCAATAGGTTTGGTGACTTTTTCTCCCAACTATACCATGAACACCACACCCCATCAGGGAGATATTTAGCTGTCATCATCCCGCCGTCTTGGCTTCCCCACTATCTTCCCTCTGCCTGTTAAGCCATTTCAGTTTTGGATGCTCTTGTAATTGCTTGTAAATTCTTCTGCTGTTAATAAGCCAGATTGGAACAATTCTAATCAAAGTCAGTTTTGTTCTTGTCCTTGTTAAGCTTAAGATGTTAAAGTCGGCCAGGACTTTAGCAGAGCTGCCCTGGCACAGAGTAAATATAGAGAAGGTGAGGTTTGGAGACAAATGGAGAGACGACAGGACTGAGATGTGCGAAATGGCTATTCTTTATCTGTAATCATGATGACACAGCACACTATCAAAAATAGTAAAAATTATGTGTGTTTGTTATTTTATGTGAGCAAAAGGTCACCATATCTAGAAATGGTCTACACAGTCAACATAAATACAAAATTTCCATGGCAAGGATTACCAAGCATTAAGCTTTGCTTTGTAGAGCCAGCAAGTAGAGACAAAAATGAAAAACATAATTAGAGCAAAGAATTTATGGATTATTAATCCAGAGTGTTCACCATGTGGGTGGTTGAGTCCAAAGAGGTTAAGAGATGTGCCCTAAGACACACAGAGCAAGCTGGTGGCTGGTGGAGGGGAAGTGGAAGACAGTGCTTTTCCTGGGACACTGACCCTGATCAGACTCACACGCTGCAAACACCCATCTCTACAGGCCCAAGAGGCAGTAATAGCACAGCAGGGGGAACCATGTCAGCAGTGTGTGACGGTTGTGTGAGCTGCTTTCAGGAGCTGAGTCAGTGTCAGCTTTAGGGCCAGCAGACTCAGCTTCCAATGCTCACCTCTGCTCCCTGTGTGGTCTTGGGCAGTGGTTTTCTTGTCTGTGAACAGGGACTGTAATGCCTTCCTGGAGGTGTTGTGATACACTTAGGGATAACCCCGTGTGGGAGCTGCACACAGCGGCCTTCAGTCAGTGCTGGTGCTGTACTGTCATGTGCTTGGTTTTGGGATGTGCAGTCCTGAGTTCTCAGCGGAGGTGGTGAGTACTCAGGTACAGGAGCCAAGGTGAGGTTTGGAGACAAATGGAGAGAAGACAGGACTGAGATGGGTGCAATGCCCTTCTTGACAAGCCCGATGGCTGGAAGAGATGAGGAAGCTGCCAAGGGCAGGGCAGAGCATCTCGCCTGCAGTTTGTTCATCCGGCCATTTGTCCGTCTACCCACCGACCCACCCACTATCCACCCTCTCAGCAAATACAGTGATATGTCAATGGTGACAGTATGCATCAGGATCCATGCTATGACTGTGGCAGAGAACAAGACAGACTCTTTGCCCTTGAGGAGCTCACATCGTTTTGGGGAAACTGACACAAAAATAGTAACTGTGACAGGGGCTAAAAAGGGCAACTAGAGGCTGGCTGAGAACTGATGGCAGCGAGACTGGGTGTTCCAGACTCCCAATATGTTCCAGGAGCCAGAATACTCTTGTCAAGGTCAGGGCCATGAGCCAGACTCTTTCACAGAAGATAAAACAGCCACCAGGAAAGGACCCCAATAAGGCTCTCTGTAAGCATGCTCACCCAGATTCTGCTTCCTGAAAATAAGAGTAGAGTCCATAAGCTGAGAGGACAGAATCAAACTGGACCGCCAGAGTCTCCCTGGAAAACGTGTGTTAACACACACACACACTCTCTCTCATGCAGCTCAAGTACGTGATGCCACGCAGAGGTGAAGGCACTTGTGCAACTAGGTTTTATAAACACTGTAGTGAACAGCAGAGCTTTCTATACTAATGTTCACTTGCTCAGAAAGTTCAACAGGTATTCAGCACTGGGGATTAAGAAACTGCCCACCCCAAAGAGGAGCTGGTATTGGGCAGAGGGAGCGTACCAGCGAATGGTTCCTACCCCGACACTACAGGTGACAGCTGAAATAGCCATGGGGGCACAGCCAGATCCTCTGCTTAGGAAACTTTGAGAAGATTAAGCCCTGAAATATCTATAGGCATCAGTGGGCCAAGTGTGCGTAATCCCAGCCCTGTGAGATCACTTTAGATCAGCGATGCTCAACCTGTGGGTCACGACCCCTTTGTAACAATGAAAATACATCCTGCATATCAGATATTTACATTACAATTCATAACAGTAGCAAAATTACAGTTATGAAGTAGCAACAAAAATAATTTTATGGCTGGGGGTCACCACAACATGAGGAACGGTATTAAAGGGTCATGGCATGAGGAAGGTTGAGAACCACTGGCTTTAGACCAAGAGTTTAAGACCAGCCCAGGTAACATAGAAAGATCTTGTCTCTATAAAAAAATAAAAATAATTAGCTGGGCCTGGTGGTGTGCACCTGTAGTCCTTGCTAATTGGGAGGTTGAAGTGGGAGGATCACTTGAGCCCAAGAATTCGAGGTTACAGTGAGCTATGATTGTGCCACTGCATTCTAGCCTGGGCAACAGAGCAAGCCCCTGTCTCAAAACAAACAAACAAATATTTTAAAAAATAAATGAAAGGCCATCAATCCAGTAAAAGAGTAGGGCAGGAGTGCTCTAGCACACAGGCAGGAAATCAGGCAGGGGCATGAAATGCATGTTGCTGTGAGGGTGTGACACCCGGCTTGGTGCTGTCAAGAATGTTCGTGATATGGTGAAACTGCACATGCGCCCTGCGAACAAATACAAATAAAAATAATGCAAAAAAAAGGATCATTCATGAGCAGGAGGCCATAGGCCACCATGCAGGAAGCAGGCCAGGAGACCTGCAACAGCAGGGGTGGGTGGCAGATACTCATTCTTGCCTCTTACTGGGGAGGAGTTTGGAGAACAGAGCAGGGAAGGTCCTAATGTTACTAACACATTGACTTTCAACTTCATGGTAAATACCATTAAAAGAAAAAAAAATTCAGGGCAGCGCCTGTGGTTCAAAGGAGTAGGGCACAGGCCCCATATGCTGGAGGTGGTGGGTCCAAATCCAGCCCCGGCCAAAAACTGCAAAAAAAAAAAAAAAAAAAAAAGTCACATATTCAAGTTATGTCCTTGAGGCCTTATCAACTGAGTTTGGCAATGAGACTCTGAGGGCCCTGCCAAGTGCAGGCTATGGAATCAAGGATAGTGGGGAACAGCTCCCAGTGGGAAGTGTCCTTCCAGTTCTAAAGTCTTATCATAAGGCTGAAAAATCACTAAGTCATGAGAAGGCGTGGTCTCTAGACTGAATTTGAAAATTTTTAGTGTTTTTGACTATTAGCTAAAATCATTCATAACATTTCTCAAGTGGCATCATCAAGCTGGAATTTTCCTCAAAACAGACATATGTTTCAGAAAAATACAAGACAAAATATAATCCAGAAAAAAGCCCCCCAAACTCCCAATGACAGTGCCAACAAATATCTGTAAATGCTAAATTCATGTTTTAAGGTCCCGCTGGGCTGAGATGGTTTTAATTTGACAAAGTCTGAGCGCCCCCTGATGGCTCATTAGGGGTCCTACAGCAGATGCCATTTGCAGCTCCCTGGGGTCAACTTGTTAACTTCTTTCCTTTAAATAACCAAGCAAGTGATTGTTTCTATATGCTGTGTACAGAACAAAGTATGTGGGTTTATTATTACAAATGTGGAATATTGAGGATGCTGCCAATTCAGCAGAATTTAAGGAGAATGTAGATTTGTCAAGCCCATGACGGAGAAGGGTGCTTTTATATACGAACCTAAAGGACTCCCAGGAAAAACCCATTTTTATTTCACTGAGATTACTGGTTGCTTGTGATCTTTATGTATCCCGGGGAAAATGGGACAGTGACTAGACCAGAAGAGGTGGTGCCAGAGACTCAGGGCAGGCTGGCGCCCTCCGCTGGCTGCTCCTGTGGCTGCAGGTCTGGCATGGAATGCCACCCACGGTGGCCCTGCAAGGGTACAGTGGCTGGGTGACTTCTTTACCCCAGGCAATTATGTTGGAAACACATACCCTTTTTTTTTTCTTGTTAAACATTATCTTGATCCAACCAGTAAGCTGCAGTTACAACGCAGGAACCTGTGAGCTTAAGTTACAAGGCAGGCTGTTAAAATATATTCTCCATTGAATAAATGGATCTGGGAGAGTGCAACTGCTTCCTAGGGAAGGTAAAGCAAGACAATGTCTGCAGAGGAGAGGAAGCCCTGGCATGCACCCTGAACAAAAGGGAACAAGTGGTTTTTACTTGGAGAACGGATTCCTATTAGGACTCACTCCTTCGTACATTATGCCTTTCATCCCCACTCAACCACGAAATGATTTTGCTGAAGAAAATACAATGGTAGAAAAAGATTTACACTGAAAGAATCTTTAATAATAAACTGTTGCCAATCTGCCTACTTGCCCGTGATTTATAATACAATAAACATCAGATTCTATTACGACTCAGGGACTGAAGCTGCTGCTCTGGAAAACGGAATATGAAAGCACCTGGACCCCACCACCATCACCATGAAATGAGCATGTATAAATGTGCTAAGAGTATCTCTTTGCATCTTTTATAGCTTGTGTGTATTAATCTGTAACGCTTATTAAGAAAGTCATTGCTATGCAAAGCAGCACCCAATCCCTTTCTCTGGCTTTTCAACAGGAGTGCACTGTTTAGCCAATAGGACGGACCCTCTGGCCCTCATTCTGCATTCATCACAGGCAACATTTGCACAATGTATCTCTCAAAGGCGGCTGAAAAGAAGGCCTTAATACTCATGTAAACAACTGCAAACCAATTACTTAATGAATCAGGCCCACACATAATGAGGTGCAGACAAAGAGCTATAAATGCATTTTTGCACCCAAGCTGCTGCTTTAAAGTAAAATCCCTCAGCTGTAGTTTGGGCTTAACTAGCACATCATAATTATTGTCTCTAGGACATCAGAGGAAGCCATTTTTTTTAAGGTCCAGTGAGTTTTTTTTTTTTTCCCCCCGAGGTTGCTCATCAGCTCACTAACAAAATAGAGCAAAGAAGAATTTTTAAAAGTGCTACAGCAGCACTGAACTGTTATGTTTATTCTCAAGTACTGGGTTTCGAGACCACTTGTAAAAGCAATAAAGCATGAGGAGTGACTGCAGTAAGTGGGATCCTTAAATGTAAGCCTCTAAGAAATTTCAGTGAATCCAGGCACAAACAGCAAAACCAGAGCTCTCCAAAGCCCAGGGTGGCGTATTAACACCACCAAACCTAGCACAAGAACCAGACCATGACAAACAGCATGCCAAACCCATGTACTTGATGCCCAGACCTTTTCATCACTGGATTATTACCAAGTGTACAGAACCAAAGGTTCCTTGAAGACCTCTGTGGTGTTTTTTTTTTTTTTAAAGGAGATGATGAGATTATTTGTAATTTATCAGGAAATTAATTTTATGCAGAAACAATAGTAATAACAAAAGGCCTCTGCCTCAATTTGAAGGGGAAAAACATGTGGCTTAGTGAAATGTAAATATTTAGTGAGATACAGAAATATTTTTATAAAATGTGAAATTTATTAAGACTGAGAAATGTTCTACAAATTTCAGTTGCTTTCTGAATGCATTTAGAAGTTGCCCAAAGAACAAAGAAAGTTTAGGAAGAAGTGGGTTTTTCAGTGCCTCTAAAATATAATGGGGACAAATACTTCTAACAATCTTTAGAAACCAAAAAGATATATTATTTATCTAAATGGTAACATTAAACCCTGAAAACTATCTATAGAATTTATTGCCTTTTAAAATTTCTTGTAGAAGACCTAAAACTTGTATTTATATAATACTTTGACATCTGTCTCACTTATCTCTCACTTCTTTCAAAAATATGGATGAAAACACAGGCATTAAAAATACTAGTTTTGATAATTAAATTAGTATTTCCATAAAATTGAATTTGTCAAGTTTCTAAAAGCAAGAATTTTCAAAAGTCAATCTTATTTTATTATATTATAAGCCCTATAATGTTTTTATAAAATATAAATAAAACATAACTTTTTTAAATTTTAAAAATGCTACATTTTTGGATTATTTTATTTTATGGGACATTACCTATATGTGTATGTGTGTGTTGCATTAGAAATATAAAGTTCCTCTTTTAAAATTTCATTGAGGTAAGTAGTTAATTCACATGAAATGCAATCATCTAAAGGACACCTTTTAATAAGCAACGCTATTATGAAAGGAAGCTTGTTGTGCTAGTTTAAATGATATTTAGCCTAAGCCAAAGGGCAGATATTTTACCAGATGATTACTTAGACTCCCATCTATAAATCCTTTCTAAGTGACATGAAGCCACTGCATAATTATTATTTTAGGTTGATGACAAATGTAACACACTTGTCAGTGTTTAAACAACTTAAGAAACTTAAGAAATGCTACAATTTAACAAATGTGAAAAGATAAAATATGTTCTTTATGGAAAATATAGTATCAGAAAAGGAAAGAATTATCTAGTTTAAATACTTGGTAAAAAGATGACTATAAAAATGAGTATCTAGCAATTGCTAGTTTATATATCAGCCATCTGAGAAAGAAGAAACAGGCCACTTTATTTCTTTTAAGACCAATGTTTTCTCTCTGCCCTTTTCCTGACAAGCTCCATTGTGTGGTCTCTAAGCAGTCCTACTGCGAGCAGCTGTAGACGCTAATTTGTGGTTCACTGAGGTGTCAATTGAGTCTTCAACCAAGGAAACAACAGCTGCAAAACAATACTTGGCTCTGGTGCAAATATTTTCAGAGGTAGACTAAAGTTTCAACTGTTATTTTAGATAAACAAAAACCCAAACCATAACCCTCCAAGTCACAAAACAAAATCATATGCAGCCTGAGTTTATTCACTGTGCAGTGACATTTCTCGTCTTGTCTCTGCTATTCAGAAAGGCGTTTGTGACTTTACCTTGACAAAGGACTTCCTTCCCCATGTGAAAAACTAGCTTCCGAAGCGATTTTGTCAGTTGTCTTTGTCTTGAATGCACTGCTGCCAATATTCAAACCTGTAATGAGAGGCGTGTTAGCTGCCATGCAGCAATGAAACGAAATGAAGGAAGAAGCGGCCTCATGATAACTTTGATGAAACAAATGCCAAAAGAGAAAGATGCCGTTCAGGCTCCAGAAGGGATGGGAGCTTCTGAGGCAAGGAGAGAACTATTGGTAAAATACTGAAGGTGGGGGAGGGAGTGTCTTGAGATACTCAAACAGAAGGCCCCAAAAGTAGAAAATAAAATCATCCAAAGAGCTCAATTTTAAAAGGCCAAAACACACATGTAAACACATGAGTCTGTATTATGGCAAAAGGCTCTGGAAAATTCTCATTGTTATGAAACAAACCAGATCTCAGAAATAACTGACACCCTGCATGACAGTTACCCACCTCACCACCAGTAAGCCCCTCTGCCAAATCCTCTATTTTCCATCCCACAGAATCAAGGATGAATGAATGCACATCGAAACTATAAAGGCCACTCTTAACCAGCCTGCAAAGGCTGAGGGGGAGACACAACCCACCTCCTTCCCTGGACTCCCCACAATGCTCCCACCTGCAGGGGAATCCCTGATCTCTGCCTCCTGGGAGTTCTTGGCCTTGGATGTTTCTGCTACAGGTCTGCTGCTTAACTGTCCGTCACCTGAGATCACAGAGAATGCATGGGCATTTTTGCAAAAGGCATTTGCTGAGTTTTTAACTTGCCTGCCTGCATGTAACCTCTGCTGTAATGCAAATCTCTTAACAATGTGTCCATATTCAGCCCAAAGAGGGTCTCCATGTGCTTAACAGGACATGATCTTTTAAGACATGAAAACTAAGGTTAAGTGGCTTTCCTAGGCAACAGGTCTAGAGACAAAGGCCTAAAATTGCTAACTCTGAAAATAACTAAAACATGCACTTCTTCTTTACTAGTTAGATTTGGGGGTGGCTCTTTGAGTTGACTGCACATCCCCACCACTACCTGTAACAACGCTGTGAACTTTCCCTCCACTCTCCCAGCCCACTTTCTGCTTCTCTTTGGAGCTCAAGAGATCTCCCCAGTATCAGAGGGAGAATAAGAGTGAAAAGACAATGCATAGCCAAATGTAAAATGAGTCCCAGGGTAGTGTCTAACTATAATCACAGCAAACACCAGCAGAAGCACTTCCATGATTCTAATGCCAGAAAATCTGGGAACTTACAAAGCACACAGTGTAATTTTGCATATGGAGTGAGGGTATTGAATCTAGGGGTGCTCAACTATACAACCCACAGGCGTCATTTCACTTATGAGTAAATTAATAAAAATAAATTGATTATTTGTATGTTAATGGTACCATATTTTTGGATACACATCCACAGGATAACTTATGTCAAATTTACTCATTCTTGGTTTGGTGCCCATAGCTCAGCGGTTAGGGTACTGACTACATGCACCAGGGCTGGTGGGTTCGAACTGGACTGAGCCTGCTAAACAAATAAACAAGCAAACAAAAACAAACAGCCAGGTGTTGTGGTGGGTGCCTGTAGTCACAGCTACAAAGGAGGCTGAGGCAAGAGAATTGCTTGACCTCAAGAGCTGGAGGTTGCTGTGAGCTGTGACGCCATGGCACTCTACCAAGGGTGACATAGTGAGACTTTGTCTCAAAAAAAAAAACAAAAAACTATCCTTTCCATCTGTCAAATTAACTTATACTTACCGTATATTTACCAAAATATACTTAACATATATAGACTTGTGGAGTTGTCCTCTGAGCGATGTATACCTGCTAACCAGTTGTAATGCTCTAAGGCAGCGGTTCTCAACCTGTGGGTCAGGACCCACAGGAACTGTATTAGAGGGATGTGGCATTAGGAAGGTTGAGAACCATTGCTCTAAGGTATTGGTCCCTCAGGCCTCATTTGTAAAAGGCGGGGGTTGGGTAAATACCTTCTAAAATTCCGCTGGATTCTAATTCTGTGACTCAAATGTGAAGAAGGTGATGAAAAGCAAATAGTTAAAACTGTGTAAGTTTTATCTTTTCAAAGCGATGATGACTTCTATCAGGACAGAGAGTGCTTTACACCTCAATAAATGACAATGTCTTATGTTTGCAGAGTTCAAGTAACCACTACCACAATAGCTGGCTTTCCCCAGGGGTTTTTTGCTACTGGACACTGTGCTATGCATTTAACCTGCAGTAGCTCACTGAATCCTTGAAACCATCAAAATAACTGAATTCTGTAGCAACTGACCCTACAACTAAAATTATCCAGGAAATAGCTTTCTAAACACAGACAGGTAAGTCTAATGCACTTGAGTCTGTCTAGAGAAGACATCTTTGAGGTAATAGGGAAATCTGAATATCGACTGGGAAGAACATGATATTAGAAATCACTTTTCATTCTGATAGGTAAAATTATGGCACGGTGGTTATGTAAAAATAAGGAAGCCATTGATGTGTATTTGCTACAATATGAATCCATTTTACAGTCACAAAGGGGGTTAAGGTGACTTTAAAAAATGGCAAATCATTGGAAAATGATAAATGTATAAGACAGTATATTAAAAAAGAAAATTACAATTAAAACAAAAGTCTAGATTAAACTGACTATAAGCTTAACATTTAGCTTTCCTGGGATTTACGGTCTTTTCATTCAGAGAACTCAAAATCCCCCAACCTTCTGGTGAGGGAAGGTAGCCTAGCACAATGCTGCCAACTGGCTAATTAAGAGGATAATTAAGAGACTTGGGGAAGAGAAGGAAGCTGAGGCATCTCCTGTGCTGGTTAAGGGCCTGTGAGGGCCATTGCCATGCTGGTGCAGCCCGTACCCAGAATGAAGCCCTCTTCCCTTCCCTACTCACTCATTCTGATCTGGGGACAGCTTGCTACCAAGCAAACTCCCCAGATCTCCAAAGAATGACTCCCTTTCCCTGAACACAGACTGGCCACTCCCCTGGGCTCCTGCACACTGGCTTAGAGTGCTTTGTTTTTTATTTTATTTATTTATTTTATTTTTTTGAGACAGAGCCTCAAGCTATCCCCCTGGGTAGACTACTATGGCATCAAAGCTCACAGCAACCTCCAACTCTTGGGCTCAAGCAAGTCTCCTGCCTCTGCCTCCCAAGTAGCTGGGATCACAGGCGCTCGCCACAACGCCCGGCTATTTTTTGGCACGCCCGGCTGTTTTTTGGCTGCTGTTATTGTTTGGCGGGCCGGGCTGGATTTGAACCCGCCACCTTAGGTGTATGTGGCTGGTGCCTTAGCCACTTGAGCCACAGGTGCCAAGCCCTGGCTTAGAGTGCTGAATCTGCCCTTACTCACCTGATAGTTGGGATCCAGAAGCACTAGCCTTTTGAAATCTGTCTTCAGTTTGATTTGTATTATCCTGAAGGGTAGAATTCTTCAGTAACTGGTAGGCTTTTGTTTCTATAGATTTAAAAAAGCACAGAAAAGTACTGTATTTTCTATGGCCCAGCGAGAAGTTTCTTAAATTTTTCCGATAAGATTAATACTTTTCAAATGCATGCAAATATTCTTTTTCATTCTGAAAACAAAAACTAATTTTGTTAAACTCATGTTTTGAGACTGAAAGACAAGTTATATAAATTTATTTGAGGTGACTGAAGTCCAGCCATTCTTTTGAATGGATCCCTGGATAGGTTTAACATCATAGTAAAATAGTTTCTTATCCCTTTAGGCCTTACAGAAGCAGCTACAGGAAGAAACCAGATGAGACAGCACTAACTTCCCAGGTGGTCAGGTCACTTGAGTGAGCTCTCTGACGTGGCTCTGAGGCTCTCCCACTGGAGTGGGGGGCTCTGGGAGGGGCTGGGCGGTAAGGGGAGGTCAGCAAGGGCAGTGGCAGCAGGATGAGCTGAGAGGCTCACAGATGAGGAAATGTCACCAAGTTGATTTGTAGGAAGCAGCAGCAGCCTGGACCTGGCTCATGTTCACAGGCTGTCCTTGGACATGCAGGGCTTCTAATGGCATCTGCTGTAAACTAAACTGGGGAAGACTGCTGGGAAAATAGCAAAGAAAAATTACATAAAGAATCCAAGTGACACAGTCTTCCTCATTACTGTAAGTCTAGAGGGTACCTGGATGAAATGGTGGACAGAGAATTAGAGTTTTAGTGTTGACACAACAAAATAGCATCTGTGTTCACATCTTCAGTGTAGCCACAAAAGGATTGCTGCTGTCAGTAGCAGGGGCTGACAACTGGCAGCATTCCTGCTTTTATTGGTATAATGTAAGAACTTAACCCTGAGTCCCTTGTTATTGGATTATAACTACCACCACAGTGAAGAATAAAAATATAACATATCTTGCCCCAGTGAAACCAATCAAAGAAAATGAACATCATACTTTGGAATATTAGATGTTATATAACTAAAATACATGCAGATCAGGGATTCTGAATTCTGAAGATAATAAATTCTAAGGCAATACTTTATTTATTTATTTTTTGAGACAGACTCTCACTATGTCACCCTTGGTAGAGTGCTATGGCGTCACAGCTCACAGCAAACTCAAACTCTTGGGCTTAAGTAATTCTCTTGTCTCAGCCTCTCAAGTAGCTGGGACTATAGGTGCTCGCCACAATGCCTGGCTATTTTTAGGTTGTAGTTGTCATTGTTGTTTGGGAGGCCCGGGGATGGAATGGAACCCGTCAGCCCCAGTGTATGTGGCTGGCGCCCTAGCCGTTGAGCTACAGGTGCCAAGCCTAAGCCAATACTTTTAATGTTGCTGGACAGATACAGGGCATGTAGAAGGGAAAGTGCTGTTTCGTGTAACATGCAGAGATGTGTGAGTGAGCATGAACTGGGATGGAAAGTGTTCCTAGTGAGGTTGGCCCCACTGACCCAGGATGCCTCTGACAAGATGGTATGGGAACATCCTCCAGCTCATCCCAACATCCATGTTTCTCCGGATGTGCTGTAAGGTAATTTTGAGAGAAGGAATATAATAACAAAATCAAAGACAGAGTGTGAAAGTAAAGAATCACTATAGAAGAAGTGAAAATGCCCTGTTTTTAGTTTATAGAAATCAATCAGAACGTTTTCCAGGAGGCCAGGAGCAGCGACTCACACCACGCCATACTCTGATCACTCTGGGAAGCTGAAGCGGGTGGATTGCTTGAGTTCATGAGTTTGAGACCAGCCTGAGCTAGAGTGAGACTTCGTCTCTAAAAAATAAGCATCGTGGTGGGTGCCTGTAGCTCCAGCTACTCTAGTGGCTGAGGCAAGAGGATCACTTTAGCCCAAGAGTTTGGAGTTACTATGAGCTATGATGCCATGGCACTCTACCAGGAGCAAGAAAGTGAGATTCTGTTTCAAAACAAAAAAGCAAAAACACGTTTTTTAGCTTTTAGAATACAAGTCCAGAGCTTCATGATTATATGCTATTTCTGCATTCAATTAAACTTACTTGACTAAAGAAAACATAGCAAAGACAAAAACTAAAAAAGAAGAACAAAACAGCAGCTTCTTGATAAACAAAGGCTCCTGGCTCCTGGTGGCTAGAGCTGGGGTTTGTAGTTCCTCTTGACATTACCTTAAGGTAAATCCTTTGACTCCACGGAGAAAGCTCTCCTGCTTTTTCAGAAACCAAGAAAACATGTGTCATTGACTTCTAAAGAGGGGATTTTTGTGAGGAACACTGAGCTAGTAGATAATTTTAGATTTTGGGGATTATACATTCTGCTCAAATATAGGACGGAACTGATACTATTGCTGGTCTGAGTTAACCAACAAGGGAGAGAATTACCAATGTGAAGTGAATTGACTTTTAGCAACAAGGGACAATTTTAATACTCTGAAAAAAATGAGCCTTTTCCATGTTCTACCATTTTCTATCCTGGTCTCCCTCCCTTCCTTCTCAGTGAACTTGGGCTCTGTAATGGGCTTTCCCTTCAAGACCCTGAGTCTGCTTTCAGCTGATTGAAAGTCGTAGAGATGGCTCACTCTCCAACCCCATTCAGTCAGAGACCAATCCCTTTCCAACCACTCCTTCTGAGGCTCTTCTCTAAGCAGAAAGTCACTGAAACCCACTGGAAAAATTTTATCTGGGTATCAGCTGCCCTGGCCTCAGTAACAAAGGACTAGTTAAACAGGGCTGAGGACTGCTGGCACAACGCTTACCCCCAACCCCAGTGTGAGCTTCCTTTAATGGTTTAAGGGCAAAGTGAAATTTACAAGTCTTTTTTTTTTTTTTTTTTTTTTGAGACAGACACTTTGTTGCCTTTGGTAGAGTGCCGTGGTATC